ATCCTAACAAACCATACATCAATGGAAAGCTTATTTATTCAGTTTGCAGATGTTGTATAAATCACAATTTCGAAAAATGGACCCGTATGACTGGTTTTGTGGTCCAGGGTCACATGTGTTAATTTTAAATCATTTTAAGTGCCCTAGTGGATTCTGGATCCCTAGTTGAAAACCACTGCTGTAGAGACAATTTTCATTGTTAGTTTTGAAATAGCAGGGGAATACATCTAATTTTGTTGAGATTACAAAGTTTAATGCAAATAATATTCTTTGTAAATATAAATGAATCAAGTTCTGCAGTGTATTATACTATTTTGCTCTGTAATCTGATTGCAGATCATTGCATATAACTATAGAAACCCTGTGAAAAGACAATGGATTTTGATAAAGTGGCATCAATATACAATATGATTTGGCACAAACGTCTCATTGCAGCATCCACACATGCCCTATCATAACAAGGCATTGCTGTCGTCATCTCTGCAGCATGTTTGTCTTATGGGAGCCAGCGGCTGGTGCCTCAGTGACTTGTTGCTCCACTTGTGGGCATCTTGAAGACCCGGCTCCAGAAAATACAGACATGCTCCGAAACCAGCCAGGACAAGGACCGAGACCAGCAGATAGACGGGGACGAACCAGTCCAGAAACATCCAGGGCATCGTGTTATCTCATAAGTATAGAAAGAGAGAAACAGAGAGACAAATATTCTCTAAATGAGAACACACCTGTGCACTGCAGTATATGAAATGCAGCATAATCCAATATCAAAGTATGACGGTACTCATACTTAACAGTGCAGCAGGTTCTGTCAATGAAGTACAACAAAGAATGAAGATGAAGTACAATGAAGATGAATTACACTAAAAAAATTAATCATATTTCTACAGCATGCGATAAAGCATCACTTCCACACATGCACATATTTATCATATGTCTCTACATACCTGTAGTCTTTCCTTGATCGTCTGTGAACTGGCGCTTTTGGGTTTTAAGTCTCAAACCCAGGCTAAGCGGATGGAATCGTCTAATTAAAATGCTGAATAACGAAGCCAAATAGCAGCTGGCAAAGCTATGTGGACAAAGACATTTTATTTTAGTCAGTGGTACGGAATGAGGGCTTTTCTCGCACCCTTGCTTTCGTGCTCTCCTTGTCAAAGCTGTACCATCCCATTCCAGTTGGGGGGGGGGGGGGGGGGGGGTAACCATGGAGATATCTCTGACGAGGAGAGGGTCAGAGCAGAAGTTACATAATTTTTTTGTAACCCTTTCTTCTCAATCTTGCTCTCACATTCCTAATAATTTCAGGTAAAACTGAAACATGGCAATTATCACTGGCAATTAGAGGACGTTTTTAGGAGGAATGTTATGTTGTATAAATGTTTTCACATCCCCAGAATGGTTAGAATAACACAGCATTGCACACATCAAGGATAGTTCACAATTCTGTCATTATTTCTATTTTAAACCTGTATGACTTTCTTCTGTGGAACAGAAAAGAAGAAATTTAACAAAATGTCCTTGCTGCTCTTTTGCATACAATGAATGGTGGGCTGGTACACTGAATCTGTAAATATAAAAAAAAGATCATAAAAATTCATATGCTAACAAAGCTCTCAAATCGAATATTTGCCACATATGCATAATCAAATTTGGCATGTCATTATCTGTAATGAGACTATTTTTATAAATTTTATGGAAACAGATTGAAGAATTTTGGTAACTATTTTCCGTTCCCATTGACGTCAATCATATGGACAAAAAATAAAAAAATAATAAAAATGCAAGTCAATGGGAATCAAAACTGGTCATCAACATTCTTCAAAATGTATTTTGTGTTCAGCACAAAAATTGGGTGGACTATTCCTTTAAAATCTCCTTTTGTGGTGTATGAAAGAAAGGAAATCATACAGATTTGAGGGTAAATGATTACAGAATTTCATGTTTTTAACATGAATGACACTTCCCAGAATAATCTTCCCAAAGCAATCTCTCTTGCACGCACACACACACACACGCAAACTTGGGAGCTGCTACATGACTAGCTTGAAGTGAGCAATGCCTGACTGAATATACATAAAGCAGATTTATAAACACAAGCACACAGAAATACAATCTCATCACAATAGCTCCCATTACACAGTTGTTGGCCTTCAGAGTATCATGCTATTGATAGTCTCAAATGTCAAGCAAAACTGAGCAGCACTGACCTACATATGAGCACAAGGCAAATGTGCAGCTTTCAGCAAAGCCTGAAGGAAATCAAACACACAGACACATATTAACAGCAATATGCACATTCACAAATACAGCTGATGCAAACACATACACTATAGTGGCATACAGTAATGTATTTGGACACTTGAAAATGTCACACCTAAAAATGGCCAAATTTCGGTGACAATAAAAAAAATCAAACCAAGTGGCACCTGCAAGTAAATTTTGCTGGATCTTTTTTCAGACCCAGTTTCACTCTTATGAAATATTTCTGCAATTATTTTTAACTAACTGTTATCACAGTGATTTTAGTGAATATAAAGTGAGCCCTTAAGTTAACACAGGTGTAGTTCATCACTTTAAATAAGGTCACTAACCTAACAAACAAGCATGTGTGTGATATAAATAAATTTGGTTTAGTATTTTTATATATACACTACTATTCAGTAGTAGTTGTTCTGGGGTCAGTAGGATAAAAAAAAAAAAAGTGTGACAGTCAAAGCATTTATAAAGTTACAAAAGATTTCTATTTCAAATAAATGCAGTTTTTTTGTACTTTGTATTCATCAAACAAACCTGAATAAAGTGCAACTGTTTTTAACATTGATAATGATAAGAAATGTTTCTTGAGCACCAAATCAGCATATTAGAATGATTTCTGACGGACCATGTGACACTAAAGACTGGAGTAATGCTGCTGAAAATTCAGCTTTGCCATCATTTTAAAATATATTAAAGTAGAAAAGAGTTCATTTAAATAGTAATATTTTACAATATTAATGTTTTACTACTGTGATTACTGTTTTCTTAATGTATGCATAAAAGCACCTTTCAAAAACATAATTACCGACCATAAACGTTTGAACTACAGTGTAATTCAATAACATTCATTCATTTTAAAACCTGATTTAATTGTCTAAATACTTTTTTGGGCCACTGTAGCTTCAGAATTTATATTGACAGACCTATTACCGTACTTGCCCCAATAATGGCACAGTCAAATTATTGCACAAATTACATTACACACTTTAAGCTTTAGTTTTGCTTCATCACAACAAAAGTAAAAACGAACAGATGTTTTAGTTATTTACTATACATGCTTTAAAAAAAAAACAACAACTTTAGTTCATCACATATAGCCAGCTTCTCTTTGAATAGATTAAAGTAATGCATAAAGCCAGTTCAGCACTAAACCCATTTTTTGGAATACTGATTAATGTATGTCAGCAGCATTTATTTTGTATTTTGCCAATATAACACGGTCCACATCTCAAAAAGCACCATACCTACTGTGAGGTGTGAATGTGGTCGCATCATGCTGTGAGGGAGATTTCCAGCAGCAGGGACTGAACATCTTGTTAAAAATGGAAGAAAAATGGATAGCGAAAATACTGGAAACGTTGTTACGGGGCTGACAAGACGTGAGGCGTGCGGATCCATAAGCAAGCGTTATTTAAAGCAGAGGAGGTCAGAAACACAGGCAGGGTCGAAACAGTGGCAAACAGGTATATGGCGGGCAAGACACAAAAATAATCATAGGGCTAGCGAAGGTTCATGAACGGCGAACAGAATCAAAAGGGGCAAGACTAAAGGGAGAAATCCAGGAAAACAGGCGAAGATCAAAACTGAGAAAACAAACAAGGCAAGGCAAGGCAAGGCAAGGCTCTGTAGAGTGGCTATCAAATGATAGGCGCTAAACAATACTCGGCCGAGGGAAGGGAGCAGAGTGAGTGTTAAATAGTGAGTGAGTGATATGAAACAGCTGTGTGCAATCAGTGAAACAGCTGTGTGCAATCAGTGCAATGAATGATGGGATATGTAGTCCGGGGTGATATGCCACAGTGTGTAGTGCGAGAGTCAATGAAAATGGAAAGGGTGACCTCTGATGGCTAGCAGACGGAAGTTCATGGACCGGATTCGTGACAAACGTTCTGAACGTTTTCTAATAAAACCTTTTGTAAATTGAAAAAATTTATTTGAGGTTTTTGATGCTTAAAGCATCACAGTATCATACAAAATTACGAGAATTGGTTAATGATGCGAATATTTTGAATCAGTATACTTCATTATTTGAATTGGCATGTGTGTGCTATAATTTGGAAGACTGATTTTCTGTTTCGTCAAGACTGTGTGACTGAAGAAAATCAGTGATTATGGAGGCTACAGACTCAGGTTTGTTGAGGTGAATGTGATGATCCCCTTCTATGTTAAGAATGGTGGCCTGCAGAGGAGTGAGAAAGATATTTCTTCTTAACAACAGACAGACATTTTGCACTTACGTTTGTGTGTATGTGTGCACATCTCACTTTTTGATCAACCCAGCTCTTCTGAATCAAATCACCATATCCATTAGGTAGAGTAAACGTTTTGAATAGACCGTCTTTTGCCCTGAAGAAAGACACATCTTTCCTTATGAAACAAAGCGTCAAATATGTCACAAGACATGAATGCAAGACACAAATGCAGTCTGATATTGTATAAAACTGCTGTGTGGATAAATAGTGTTTTTAACTGTAGTTCAATCATGACAACTCTCGGAAGATTTTAGCATGGTGATGGATATAACAATGTTAATGTATTTGGTCTTGGCGGAACAGATCTGCTACGCTGCTGCTGAATTGCTGCTGCTGTTGGTTATTGCTGTAGTTGTAGATTATTTCTGCTGCTGCAAGCAAGTACAGGAACTTGCTACTGCCAATGCATATGGTGATACGGTGCCGTGAGTATTTAAGACATACTGCTGCTGCACAAATAGCATATAAAATAACCCGTAGCAGATCTATACAGGTGGAGCGTTTCAGAGAAACTCTGAAAACGCGCTGCAGGAATCTCAAGTGAACGCAAGCCAGCCATATAAATGCAAGGCAGTAAGCTCATTGGCTGCATATGCAGCATGAACCAATCAGCTTGTGCCAAGTCGTTTAACTCTCTGAATATCATCAGTTAGCTCAACACCCCGCCAGCCTGCACCATCTAGAGTTTCATGACTGAGCTATATATTTAAAATGTACTTAAGCCACACTTAACATGCATTCATACAATTGTCCACAGATGCCACTAGGTTTATATATCTTGTTATGGAATACAATGACATTCTGGCATATTATATTTGATTTAATGCTTTTTTGGGGCCAGTATACTGTACATTATAATGTTGTGATGATGCCTAAATTGACTTTTAGCATTTAAATTGACTGATTTTCACTTTTAGTTTTTTTTTTATTTAGAATTTATTTAGACATAATAAACAAATATTATAGAATTTAATATCTGCCAATTATTGGTTTCTGGCCATAACATGAATATAATTATCATCTTATCAGTACTGGGCAGAATTTTAATAATCGTGCATCTCTAATTTTGAGCATTGTGGATAAATGTGCACAGTGTTTCTCTTGAACACTATGAAAACTTGTATGTGTGTGCGTGCAAACTCACAGCAGTAGCATCACTCTGGCTTTAACTAGTGACAACATGTGGAGGCACTGTTCCATATTATTATTCACAATGTTTTTCTGAAACAAAACCAAAATTATGAAGTGTATAGTGTGTTTTTAGACATTCCTTCCTTAACACAAGACATTTTTATAGCAGAAACCACAACAAAAAAGGAATAAACTACTGTATATGATAAATAAGGGTTTTTTGCAGATCTGTCACATAAATATGTGTCAAACAGTCAAACTATATATGAATACTTATCAGTAATAAACAAACAATTGAAATGCAAAGGAATTAATAAATATATTGAAATGGCTCACCAAGTTTATCCTGAAATCTCTGGAGAATAAAAATCCTTTAAGATAAAGGAAGTAATTTAGAGACAAAAAATAAAACGTCAGAAAATCTAGGTCTGTAGTGTGAGAATACAATTGCTGTACGTCGTCTTACCTCCCTCAACTTCTCTGACAGCTCGCTCTAACAGAATGTCTGCAGACTGATCGGAAAGGGAGGGGTTTGCAGCCTTCAATCTAAAAGAGGATAATAATAATAAATGCAGTTCATTTGAACTTTTTATTCATCACAGAACCCTGAAAAAAGTGTATCACTTACCACAAAAAAAAGAACAGCTGTTTTTAACAATTGAATCAACACTTGAAAATGGCAAATATTTAGTTAAAGGGGAATCATTTGAAAAAAGTTTAAGTTGACATTAAATGGAAGTTGTGATCACCTTTATTTCCCTATTGTGACGTATATATCAAGTGAAATGGTTTCTCGAATAAGAAAAAAAAATGTGGGATGCGACTTGATTTTGTCTAGGATAAATCATGTATAATAAACACTGCAATATTTCGTAAACAAAAAACAAAAAAATAAAAAAATAAAAAAGTTTTCCATTTTGAATTTTGGGTGATTTTAAAGACAAGACACTCAAAATGTGGGAAAGAATGTGGCTGAAACTCAACTGAAACAAGAACACTGATGTGCTATAACCTACACATTTGCCTGTAACTGAATGTGAGGAATTCTTCACCTTTCTTTGGCTTTCTCATACGTGTACACCCTCTCTTTCCTCTCATCCGTCTTGTTGTCATAGTGGATTTGATCATTAATCCCTTTCCTCATGTTCTTAAACATCTCAGTCTAAGGAAGGACAAATAAACATGTATGTTGTTATCATTGCCGCACGTATATTGAATAAGAAGTCTTCTCTATGATTTACAAATAATGACTCTAACATGCTCCATTTATTGTTACCATTTGTGTTGGGAGGTATCCATAATTATCCAAGAGAACTACAGCATCAACCATCTCTGGGTACAAAGCACTAAACTGGAAATCCAGAAGGAACTGTTATCACACACTACATTTACACATTACAGAGGCTTTATTTACTAAAACTTTGGTTCTCAACTGTTGCAAAAACCAAAATGTAGCCGCTCAAGGACAGCAGATAAAAAAACAATGCTAGCCAGTCTTATACTCATGCAGAGCAAGATAGCAAAAAGTTAATAATGTTGCAAACTGTTTGACCTTTACAGCTCACTGTAATATTAAATCATTTAAAGACATTTTTGGTTACATTGCATCATTTCGGTACTGTGATAGGTTTTTCCTTTATGTCAAATCTGGGTCATGAAGTAATCCAGCTGAGAAACACTGTATTACACAACTATAACATTTACATAAATAGAAAAAATTATGATGGATACTCACTATTCCTGCCACATTCCCACCTGTTAAAGAAACATCAAATTATGGTAAATTTACATAAATAACCCAGTTCAAAATGAGTTTCCACTTACTTGAATGTCATGCTTATTTGTGAAATGTATTGATTTTTTAATTATAATTTCATTTATATTCCAGTGTTATCCAGTAACCATGATTATTATTTATTTTACATTTAAGTATTATCAATAATATGAATAATATTATATTACTGTAGTTATTTTATGTTACTTCAAGACTGTGCATTAATTCTGATTATATATTTATGTAAGGTAATGTTAACGAATGGTTCACCTTTTTTTCTATATCTTTACCCACGCCTAACTCCTTAATTCATTCAAAGTTATTACTCAAAACACACACTTGTTTCCTACTGTGGAATATTTAAATCTTCGGTCTTAAAATATATTTTAATTAACTAAAGCTCAAATCCTAGAAAATAATACTGCAGGTACTCAAACTTGCTCATCATCTGGTCGTGGATAAGGGTGACATTAGAGAAGTGGTGATGCTATAAATAGTAGGGAAATACGAAGACAAGTTTGTGGCATTCCTCCCAGAGTGTCCTACTAATGTCCTTTTAGTGATCTACTAACATACATTTATGTCATTGAAGAAAGGCTACAAAATATAAAGGCTTTACAGAGCACTACAATAACACAGCTTCACAATAAAATGATTTATCATCAGTTAACGTACGGTTTGCATAGATCCTCTGACCTTTCACACACTAAAGAGAACTTTGACCTCTATCAGTGAATGAAGTGTTGGCTCACCCATACTATGTCCAATGATAGAGAATTGCTTCCACTGAAGGGCTGCGAACAAAACGCAAAAAAAAAAAATCAGTCACACCTACAGTGTTTTAAAATAGTTTTTGCCTTGCGTTTCAGTAAAAATAAAATAATTCAAACAAGAACGACTTACTTTAGATGCAACACTGCATTACCTATGATGGCTTGTTTTAATTGATTGTATCTTGAGTTTATTTTGTATTATTTCCACTTGCTTATTGCTTTTTTTACTTGCTTATGCATAAAGCAAGTAAAACAAATTGCCAAAATGCACTGAAATTAAATAGCCTATACCTTTGACGAGTCTTCTTACTTCAAACAGTGTTGCTTCTCAAGTACATTTATCTTGTTCCAAGGATTTTTAGATATTTTGATTGGAAAGCAAGGCAAAGATACTCATTTAAATGTTGTTGTTTTTTGTAATGAAGATGAATCATTAATGGTTTGTAACAAAGGCTGAGTTGCTTCAAACCTTCTACAACTCGCCGAACATCTGCCACATACAAAGGGAAGGTGTAAAGGCATCCATCAGGCCTATGAGACGAGAGACCATGACCTGGAAAGTCAATGGCTACGAATCTCCAGTCTGGGAGAGATGTGGAGAAAAACAGAGAAATTGAGAACCAGTTTCACTTCACTGATAGGTATGTAAGAATGAATTCATCCATGTGGACCTTCATAATGTTATTAAATCCTCTGGAAGCAAACACTACACCTTTAGGAAGCAGTGGAACCAGGGTACTGAATGTCCCGCAGTTGTCAGCCCAACCGTGCAAGCACAGCACGGGACGACCATTAGAAGGACCCCAAACCTGACCTCTCACCTCTCCCCACGGGACAGTCATTCGAAACTCAGACGCTGTGTCAAAATACAGATTCATAATTAGTTACATTCATGTATATCCTATAAAATATGCTCCCTAAATGAATTTCAAAGTTGATTTTGAAGCAACTATGATGAATGTTAACCTATGTTCATTTTCAAAAAAACTAATAAAAAATATTAAAATTGAATTAAATTAAATACATTTTCTTACCTGCTCTCCTCATCGTAGTTGTGGAAAAGTGTCTGAGGCTCGTGAAGGCAGGAAGCATTCTCACACCTTGCAGTGCAGTTTTAAACCCCCTTACAAGATAAGGAGAAACTTATGTTTAATTGAAAAACATATTTGTAAATGTTCGGAAGGTACCCTAACCTTGTTCATCTGAACATGACATGCATGTAAGACATTCAGACTAACTTCACAGATGCAGAACAGATATAAAAATCCGATATAGAAGTATAAATTCTCATTCCTACACTGTCCTGGAACGTGAGGAGAAAATATAGCTACATACAATATGTTAATTATATAGTTCCGCTTTCCAAATTAATTGCAAACTTACGTCGAGGGATATAAACCGCCTGTCCTCTTCAAGTTTAGTTACTATTTACAAGCACATCACGCACTGTAACATTACTTGTGCTCAACCGCCTGTATTTTCCGATAAATATGATGATCCGTTTCCAAAACACTCGCTGCTTGTATTTTTCTTCGAAAAAATTTGAACTCAACCGCCGCGTCCTAGCGTTTTCCCGCGCCAGCCCACTTACTAACGTTAGATGCCGACCGGGAACCACCGTCGTTCCCAGCTCCACTGTAACATTACATCCTGGCCAGTAACGTTTAAATTACTTTAAAATAAAAGTCGTTGCCGCTGAATCATCATTTCGTTAGAAAATGCTTTTCGAAAATGAAAAAAATAATAATAATAATACATTTCCAAAACTCTTACCACTACAATACACTATGCTTCATTTCGAAAACGTAAAGTCATTGTTATTTCCCGTCGTACTTTTATATTGAAAATATCCGGTCACAAGGGTAAGTGCGAGGATTTCCACTAATCTTGGCTTCACACTTCTGGAACTGACACCCAAAACACCAGGTATACGCCAAGCAATGAAATATGCTTTGATTGTGATACCTACCTGCTTTATAATTTCCTCATTTCTTTACAAGGTGGCTCGTTCGGTGTATTATTCAGTCCCTATATAATCAAGAAGCCACATAATATAATCAGAGACCAGTATTACATGATAAACGCAACGATGAATGACAAATCAATTAATTGTAAGGTTAACTGACATTTATGTATTCCTAAATATTTCTTTGCAGATCATAATATGCTGGTTTATAACACTAAATTGTTTATATTCCAGGACTCAGGCACGTTCGTTCTAATTCAGATTGTGATTCAGTTTCGGTGTGGACGGAATGGAGGTGCGCTTCACGCGAGGCAAATCTGCGATCCTCGAGCGCTCGCTCACGCGCCCCAAAACCGAGGTGAGCGTGAGTGCGTTCGCGCTGCTCTTCTCTGAGATGGTGCAGTACTGCCAGAGCCGCGTGTACTCGGTGTCGGAGCTCCAGGCCCGGCTGGCAGACATGGGTCAAGGTGTTGGAGCCAGTCTTCTGGATGTTCTTGTGATGAGGGAGAAAAATGGAAAAAGAGAGACCAAAGTTTTAAACATACTTCTCTTTATTAAGGTATTACTGTTTATTTGTTTACAGGTTGTAGATCATTTTTGGTTGCAGGAATAGTTCACCTAAAAATGTAAAATGACAGAATCCGAGATGTTGGTTTATTTAGATTTGGAGAAATGTAGCATTACATTATTTGCGCACCAGTGAATGGGTGCCGTCAGAATTAGAGTCCAAAGAACTGATAAAAACATCACGGTAATTCACACCATTCCAGTCCATCACTGCAGAGGATCCACTGTTGAGCAAGCGATGTAATGCTACATTTCTCCAAATCTGTTTTGATGAAGAAACAAGCGTATCTACATCTTGGCTGGCCTGAGGGTGAGTAAGTTTTCATTTCATTTTTGGGTGAACTAATTCCTTCAAAGTTTACATAGCCTAGGGCAGGGTTCCTCAAATCTTGCCCTGGAGGTCCAATGCACTGCAGAGTTTAGCTTCAACCCTGATCAAACTCACCTACCTGTGATTTTCTAATGATCCTGAAGACATTGATTAGCATGCTCAGGTGTGTTTGATTAGGGTTAGAGCTAAACTCTGCAGGAAAGTGGATCTCGTGGGCCAGATTTGAGGATCCCTGGCCTAGGGTGACCATATGTGCCATTTTCCCAGGACGTGTCCTTGCCAGGATTTGTTTTGGCTTTGTTTTTTCCTGTTTTCATGCTTGCCGAAGGTAATGATCGAAAAGTAGTTTGACCAATAACATGCAGGCATTGTACATAATGGACCAATCATGGTGTGTGTGAGAAGGTGGGATCTACGGTCAAAGCGATGCATAGGATGTGTGTTCGACTTAAAAGCAGCGCGGCTCAGATCGATCAGTGTTTGACATCAGAGTACCTCGAGAGCATTTTGAAAGCATAAGGAACCATCTGTATGGTATTTTGATGTCATACAGCGATCGGTCTGCACACGCAAACAAAGCCAAAACCTAGATATTTTAGGCAATATAGAAATCCTGGCCAGGACGCGTGTCCTGGGAAAATGGTCACTTATGGTCACCCTAACATAGCCTTTAGTGTTCTTTCTGTTTTCTGTTCTGTTTCTTTCTTCCTAGGTGAACGTATGGAAAGCATTATTCGGCAAGGAAGCAGACAAACTGGAACAAAAGTTTTATTTACAGCATGAATAATTACATTTGAACTTTTGTATTATAGAGGATTGTTCTATGTATGTGTAAATGTTTCATTTGTTCATGTTGTTTCATTTTTCATCACACAATATAATAAAGATTTTGTCAACCCCAAGGAGAGAGGAGGAAATACTGTCCCTTACAAAAACGTACCATGATAACAATATGTTATGCCTAAAACTGTACAGTAGTTACAATAGATATTGTTAATACTTACATAGCATAATGATTACATTATTATAATGATTATAGATTTTCATAATAATTATAGATATTATTAATACTCTGACATAATGTAATATTTTGTCTGTTTTTCTTTTTAATGACAGTTACAACA